AATGTATTGTTAGTGAGTAAGCCCTGGATTAAGGATTCAGGGGGAAAGGAATTTGGTGCTTGGCGTGGTCATTGGAGTCCCAGCACTAGAATATGGGGGATAATATATTTACCCAGATTAGCAAAGGGTTTTGAGATCTGCAGCTGGAACACGCTGTGTAAGTGCAAAATATTACGAGAGGCTAAGGTCCCAGTTTCGCTGCATTTCAATGGGTTTGGGGGGCATCTGATTCTCTGGTGCTCCTTTGACAATCCCAGCCAACCACAAAATGGAGCACTGACTTCAAACTTCCCTCTTTGCTTTGCAGCAATGAGGATTTCAGTTGTAGCTTCGGAAAAATGAGTCTCTCTGATCCAGGTAAAAATATGAGAGAGAATTAGCCCCAATTCAGGTCTCTACGTGTGAGCCAGGCCTTTGCCATGCTACAGCTGAAATGATGCGAGTGGCTGTGTTAAAAAATGCTGTTTGCTTTCCAATCCCAAAACCCATAAAGCTGCATAAAAGGGTTTAGGTATTTGTGCCACGTAGAGACTCTATAAAGTCTCTGTAACATGTACCATGCACATCTTCACATACATCACAAATGCACCCAGATGCTACCAAACCCAGCTGCCAATCGCGGTTGCTAGCATGGTGTTTGAGGCGTTAAGGAGTACATTTTCTATGAATCAGACACAAAGTCTTGCCTCTCTTCCAAGCATCGCAGGATTACCCCAACAGTTTCACAAAACAACAGAGCTCTCTTAACGGAACAGGTGTTAGGAGAAGGGGGAAAAAAAATTCCACTGAGGTAGGTGGGGAGAAACAAAAATATTTTTGTGTCACAGGTTGATACAATTCATTGCTTTTGGTTAGATTTAGTTGCAAAGAACATTAGAAATTGAAATGAGTTAGGAATGGTTTGTATTAACCATAATTGTCTATAACTTCAGTAGGCGGTTACTTGGGTTTTTCCCACCATGTAGCTGCTTACTAGGTCTGATCCAAAGCTATCTGGGTCAATGGGAGTCTTTCTGCAGTTTCATGAAGCTAGTTTAGCAAGTGGTCAGCAGATACAGTGTTCCCAAAAGTGACTAGCACACAATGTATCGAGCTCTGAAAATTTGGCCAAATTGTGGGTGAGGAGGCCTTCTAAAAATTCGGCTTACTATACAACATGTTGGCTTTATTGCTACAAACTTCCTATGTGAGTGGGAACAAATATCTTAAGGAATATATATGGAGAGAGACTTAGCATCTTCTGGATTTTAAAGGATTGTAGCTAACCCCAAAGTGAGAAATGACAAAAAGTCCATCCTGTTTCAAAGATAATTCTGGGGATTTTTTTTTAAAGAAATGGACTTTCCTCAAATTAGATTTTTTTAAAAATTTCCTTCCAACTTTCTGCAGATCAGT